CAAATTAAATTCCGGAAATGTACTCTGTCATTCAGTGCAAATATTTTGCGTTCTGTTCCGCACAAACATTTAAATATTGCAACAAGTTTACAAAATTAGAATTTTGTGAAACTTCATCTCTTTCATTCTTACAGAAAGAACATCGAGTGAGGGCAAATGAGAACAAGTTGCTGAGAATAAGAAATGAAACAACAGAGAGCTCAAGAAAATTACATGCCGGTAATGAAAACTTCCATAATTCGTAATTTTCGTGTAACTGAGCTTCATCAGGAATGATATGGAGAGGATAAACGGAACGCACAGAAGGGCATAGAAATTGAAATAAACGCTGAAGATTGCTTTCCTCTGGTAAGCTGCGCCATGCAGCCTGCTAGAACTTCGCCGACGTCTCACTGAGGATGAGGCAGCAAACACCCACTAGACCACGCGGCGCAACATCAAAGAAGACACTCATTTTAAAACTAGTCGTCGTGAGAACCTGAAATCTCACCCACGAAAAAATTAGACAGAAAACACAATAGGAGATACCACCAGCAAAACATAACGCTTAAAGGGTAACATAACATAGGACGTGGAGGTCTGGATTGCGTGTGGTACAACGGTAGGCTTTTGTGAACACTACGATGATCCTTTGGGACCGCAAAGTCAGACTGTCTTGAGTAGCTGAGTCAGTATAAAATGTTCAATGAGTAGTTGCATAGGAGATCGGTGTTAAACAAGACTGAATCGACTTGAAGCTATTTCAACAGTTCCGAATCGACTCGTTTCAAGTGCTCAACGCATAAACTAATCATCTATATTGGAATCGTGATGGTAGCACTGGGACAGCAATGGACTGGCAGTGGTCAGGCACTTGAGCGAGGGACAGATGGAGGCAGCAGAACAGGGGAATTAATGCGCTTGTCCCTTGCCTCGAAATTGCCCATCAGTGGTTTTACTTTTCCACCGTCCAGTGGGAGCCTCACCAACCCACCCCTAAACCCCTCCCCCCTTACACTCTTCCGTACCGCAACCTGTTCGCGACGTGTGGGAGTCGATCCAAAGCACAAACGGACGTCCTAGGACCACGACACCTGAATTTTTACAATTCACACACCTCGTTACGTTTGGCGGAGAAAAAATACCGACACAAAACTCTGACTGAGCAACTACAAACAACAACTTTTTAAAAACTGCTTCTGTAAAGTAGTCGGGGGTAAATATGTGCGTTCCACGTCCGTTACAAGTAAAGGACATTGCTATAGAGATTCCTGGCGATTACAGGAAAGACAGAAACAACTGAGCTATAGGCCAGCAATGTCTGCCGAAAGGTTGGATAATTTTCAGCTTATGGTGCGTCTCAATCCACAAAAAAAAAAAAATCGAAGGACAAGAAACAAACCGCCAACTTTAAGAACTACAAGCCGCATTATTTTCGTTTAAACAATTTTTTCGACAGTAAAGAAATTCGTTGCTTTTAAAGTTCCAAAGGTGTATTAAAGAAATTGTAATAAAGTAAATATGGAGTCAATTTTTATATAATACAATCTGACTTCGTTACTTATCTTTCACACAAAACCGCATATTTATATATTTTTCTGGAACTATTGTAATACAACCTGACTTCGTCACTTATATTTCACACAAAACCACATATTTATATATTTTTCTGGAACTATTCACATAACAATTTAACTTTAATGACATCTTACATTATTTTTTCATATTTTGCATTTCCACTTAACCTACTCTGAGCACTTGTACAGTCACGTCAAAAACACGCTCTTGGAACTGAATATATTACAAATAAACAAATGCGTCACAGAACCCTGTTCACAGTTATGACTGTCCGCATAAAAAGTAATTAGAAGCACGTGAAAGGTGAATGATAGTGAATTCACCAGAATGGTCTCAAAACACGCGCAGGACAGGGCAAGTGGATGCTTGTTGAGGGGGGGTGCAAACAGACCTCGGCGGTGCGGAGTGAGACATAACTTCACACGATTGGAATGTTAATTATCGCGGCCACGTCGAATTATTTCACACGCTCGATGCCGAGAAATTTGTCATTACATGCCACAGCCCCACTGCCTTCATATCGCCTGTGTGCAGTTCATGATACGGTTTGCGTTAGCTTTAGCTCGGGCCCCCAACACATGCAGATCCGCGTTGACTTTCCTACACAAACCATTCTCACTCGTAAACCTAAGTGGTCGGGAGAATTACAGACCTGAAGAAGTACAAAACTCCCTATAAATTATAAACTATCAAACACGCTAACGGATCTCGCAATTAAAACAAATCAAAATGGCATTAACCACAACATAAAAGCCAGTTCACTTATCGCGTCTCCCACCACTCACTTCAGAATATATTATTTTGCCATTTCATTTTTCGAATATTAAAAGCTGTAATTTTGTCTGCTACAAATAACACTGAACAACCAGTGGCGGACTGCTGAAGGGAGGCCAACAAGCCCACATCGTGAAAATTAGGATGTTACTAAATGCCACACAACAATATTTCACCACGCAAAGGAGAGACAAGAAATGCCTACAGAATTTATATCCGGAACTATTATGTAATTGACCGAGTTACTTAAACTAGCAATCACGTTGAAGAGCCCCGACATACCACAGCCAAAATGTGAATAGCAAGTGTCAATAAGTTAAAAGTTACTAGGCGAATTACTGGCTGAAGAAAGCTTAGCAAATGACAAGTTAAGTAGCTTACTCGGCAAACCGAACAAACGATCCGATACGGCCCGAGATACAGCGGAATAACTAGTAAACAGCTGTCATTGGCTCTGAGGAACTTAACTTCACAGCTGATACGTAAAACATCAGAGGCGTGCGGTGTACTAAAATTATTACAGCTGTAACTTAAAAACAAGAGTAATACTTATAAATCACTACACGCCATTCGTTAGCACGCCACTGAAAACAGTAGTAATTATTCACGGAGGGAAATGTTTTGAGAGTAATGTATGTCCACGCTCTTTCGTTGTTGTTTTTTTTTTTAACCTGAGCATTCGAAAAGTATAGCAGATAATTGCATCCCACCACGAACGAAGACAAATGTGTTAGTTGAAAATGCCACAACGTTAGCCAATAGTTGGTTTAACTGAGGGTAAAAACATCAACATTCTGGAAGTTCTACACAGCACACAAAACAAACCGCCGAAATATACGGAGCTGACCCATTACGTCCAGGAGGTCATGAGGCATCTGAAGTTTTCACTTGCATGATTACAAAGGCTAAGACTAATTAAAAGTGGTTTTAAAATATAAGAGAGGGCGTATTCTGTGCCACATAACAAATCACGACACAGAAACAAACTTATTACAAATTAGGTACAGGGTCTATAATTTTAAATGTGTTTTGTCCAAATTAATTAATCCACTAACTCCATAGAAGAAGAGTTCATTCAGCCAGCCAAGAAATTCCTCGCCTGTTACAGAATCCGAATATCCGCTATCGTGATCACAGACATCGATAATCAGATTTCTATGCAACCTGTTGTGGTTTTCATAATTTAAGAACACAATTCCGGCTACTGGTCTGTACCTAGAGTCGCATTAATCAAGTTCACTCCCCCTACCCCATTTATCCAAACCCATTTTAATATTATCCTTCAATCTACACCTGGGTATTTCGAGTGATGCC